CCCCCCCACAGTCCCACTCCCCTTCCTTTCCTTCTACTCTCTTGTCCGTGTTTGGTCTCTGGCCTTAATTGTAGAGCGTGTGTCATCTGTGTTGTTTTGCGTGCGAGTGAGTGTCTGCGCATTGGTGAGCATTCCTGACAGCAGAAACCCCGGAGCAGTTCCACATCATGCTCAGTCCGGGGTGAGTCGGAGGAATGTGGCAGCCACAGTGAAGTTCAAAGGGGGGGGTAGAGTGTTTTTCTGCTGTGCTTCTTCCGTCCCCTGCTCCTCCTCTGCAGCCTGACAGCTGCTTCGACACGGAATTCCACTGCGAGGACACGCACCGATCGCACGCTCTCACACAAGTGCAGACGGGCGACTCTTGCTCCGGCGCGTTGCTCTTGAAGAGCTCTGTTGGTTCGGCGATTAAAGGAAAAGCAGCGTGACAGCCTGCAGTGTTTGGGGTGTGAACACTTGGTGTGAAAGCTGTCTGAGATTTTTTTTCTTTCATTTATTGATGCATAATGTGTTAGCAAAACATAATCAGCTTGTTTTGTGATAAAATAAAGCGTCCCTCTGTGTGTGAGCAGGAAGATAGAAAGGTATCAAATGATTAAAAATGTGATTTTATTTTAAGTTTTGTGATTTTTTTTTTTTTTTTGCGTGGCTGCAGATTTGTGCTGTGTCGTCCATTTGGCCTCAAGTGTTGCTGTGTCCCTTCTGCTACGTGGCAGCGCCTCTCACACTTCTCTCCCACTCTCCCCCTCAGCCGACTGAGCAGCGCAGCGCTCCGAGGAAGAGAGACGCCTCTCCTAATCATTATCCCAGCTCTCCGCTGAAGCCCAGCTCCCCCACCGCCGCGCTCTGTCCGCCCTCCCTGCAGCCCCAGGCGAACAGCAGAGCGCCACCGGAGGAGGCAGCGGGACTGCACGGGACCCCCCCTCCACCAGACCCCTCACCCATGCGTCCCATCCCACCAGAGGCTCGGCGGCTGATCGTGAACAAGAACGCCGGGGAGACTCTGCTGCAGAGAGCGGCACGGCTCGGCTACGAGGTAATGGGCTTCACTCAAACCCCTCCCACCCCACTTATCTCCTCTCTTCACATTTTATGCTCTTTTACTTCGTCTCCTCCAAATCTTAACTCTCTTTTTCTAAATTGAGCTCATTTTCTTCCCACACTTTGTTCCTGTCTGCGACTCTGGCAGACGTTGTTCTGCTCTGTTTTTTAAGGATTCTTCAAATTTCTCTCTTGCACCTCTCGTTTTCTATCTCCTTCCTTTTTGTATCATTTCTCTCTATCTCACATCTCCATCCTATTACCCGTCTCCTCTCTCTGTCTCTGTCTCTCTCTCTCTCTCTCTCTCTCTCTCTCTCTCTCTCTCTCTC